AAATTGGACATTCCCTAGCAAAGTGCCCTGGCTCATGGCAATTGTAGCAGCGAAGTTTGCCTTTGTTGAATCCGACCTTTTTGTCGGAATTCACACTCCATTTGTTTTTGCCAGTTTTCTAAGAAAACTGCTTTGCCCTGAACACAGCCATGGCCATCTGCCAGGTTATATCCATCTCTTCTACATCTTCAGGATGAATCTGATCAAGGTCGGCAAAAGAAAGTTGTGGGGAGAGTTCTCCAGCCACAAAAGCATTGTAGCAATTTACCAAACCCATGGCAAGAGCCATATTTTCTTCTTTTTCTTTCATGGTTGACATCTGAGAACTGAAACCATGAGACTGAGGAGGTACAACATTAGATGAGCCAACACTGGCATTAACTTGTTGAGAAGTGATCTGAGGTTAAGAGACTTGAACTTGTTGCATGGAAGGGATAACATAGGATGTAGGTGGAATCGGTTGATGAGTCATGAAAGGTTGAACTTGTGAAACATGTGGAGTTGGGGTAACTTGAGGAGCTTGCGCAACAGTGAAGCTTGAAAAGGCATTGTTGTTTGTGGCTTGGATCCCTAGATTTGCAGTGGAATAAGAATTAACATGATTACTCTCCCTCTGCTTGTCATCAAGATCACAAGCCTTGATGATAGCCATAGTTTCTGCCAGACTCAGCCTGTTTAGGTCTTTTGTTTTCTTTATCACTGAGACATTCATATCCCAGGATTTTGGAAGGGAGTTTAACAACTTCTTGTTGATTTCTGATCTTGTTACCGAAACACCTGCAGAACTCATTTCTGTGGTGAGAGTAATGAACCTCTGGAGCTGGTTCTCAAGAGTTTCGCCTAGGACATAGTTGAACATGTTGAACTTTTGTCGAAGCATGTCCTGACGACTCTGCTTCATATCCTCATTACCCTCATAAACTTCTATTAGTGCTTCCCAAAGTGCTTTTGCCGATGTATACTCACGGAAACCCTGAGCGATTTCTGGAGATCATGCCATTGTAAGCGTAGCAAGGGCTTTCTCCTGCTCTTCGATCTTTTCGAAATCATCATCCGTATAATTTTCAATCCGTTTGTCGACAATTATGTCATCCACTGTAGTAGTAATTCGAATTGGTCCCCTAAGTATACTGCGCCAAATCTTGAAGTCTTTCATTTTAATATACTTTTCGACCCGGTATTTCCATTCCGGAAAGCCTTCAGCATTCAAGAGTCGGGGAATTCGAGAAGTTGTTCCCATGATGGTGTCAAGTTCCTGATGTACTGTCATGCTTTGAGAATCCATTTGTTTGTTGTTTTTTTTTTAATTTTTTATATTTTTTTATGATTTTTGTTTTGAAAATTAAATTGAAAGAAAAATGATCAAAGACAGGTTTTCGGTGAAAACGTTAGGCCGAAAACTAGAATCAAGTGAGTTTTCGGTTTCCTGAGATTGATGAAAGGTTTTCGGTTATTGAAGATGGTTTGGATTTTCGGTTTCTGAAGAATGCTTGGGTTTTCGGTTTCTGAAGATTAAGCAGAAATAGTTTTCGGTGTCTGAAGATGAACCGAAACTGAGGATTTTTTTTTAGTGAAAACGTTGATTCTTGATCTGATCACAATTTTTCGCACAACCAAAACTTCCAAAAATGCTTCCAAATACACAGATCTGGACAAAACACAAATGACAATGAGTTTTCGGTGTACGTAGGTTCAACCGAAAACTATAAGAATTCAATCACAAACTTGAATCTGATGCAGATCTTGATTTTAATTAAAGCAAACAACAATCCAGTCTTCAAACTAGAACAGATTCGAACTTGCCAATGAACCGAAAATGAAGATCACGAGAATGTTGATGAACCGAAAACAGAAAACACAATTGATTGACACTAGACAAGCTCTGATACCATGTTAGGTCCCAAATCTGTGGGATCTATCCAGTGATCAATCAATTGCAATAGAAATGAAGAAGAAGAAGATTAAACACCAAGCTTGCATACAATTCAACTATGAAATGTCGGATACAACTTGGATGGACCGAAAACTTGCTAGAACAACTAGTCATTCCTCTGACAACCTGACAACAATTTATAGCAATACACATTAGACCGAAAACAGGTTTTCGGTCAAAGCCTGACCGAAAACCTACCTAGACCGAAAACACATACAAACACAAAAAAGATGTCCAAAACACATTAATAACAGCCCTAAACCATCCATGCATTAATGCTTAGCCCAAACCAAATATATTGGCCCTTCAATCTGGCTTCGTATGAGGAAGTTATGATTTTTCTAAGTTTCGGTATAGCAGTATACAACTAAAAACTCGAAATAAAGATCGAGTGATTTTTAGCCGACAGAACCTAAAAGAGAATCGAAGGTCTCGTCAATAGTAGTACAATGGTAAAAAGACAGACAAAAACCGACGTCAGATGAAGATGTTATGAATTTTTAACGTATTTTCATGTCCCGGTCTGTTTAAAGTAATAATATTAAAAATAAGGTCAATTTAGCCGACGGAGTCTAAACAAAAGTTGTAGAGTATAATCTCACCTACACGTGCATATAAAGAACGTCGAAAACGGAGCTCATATGCGAAAGTTATGAATTTTTGAAGTACGGGGCTCAAAAACCGAGAAAATTCGCATGTGCATGGTCCGAGTTCGGCCATGTAGCACCTGTGCATGCGAGACGCGTGTCTGGTCCGTGGCATGACCGAAGCGAGCCACGTCTCCCTTCTCTTGCGAGCCGCTCCGTGTCCGAAGCAGGCGAGTCATCCGAAGGTGCGGCCCAACCGAAGTCTGACGTGTGTAGCGTCCGAAGCCTGCTGTCCGACACGTAGCCTTCCCTCTCGCCACCTGTCCGAACACGTGCCCTCTTCTCCTTCCTTCGGTCCGAGGCTTCGGCCTTATAAATACCTGCGAGATCTCCCGGTTCCATTTCCAATTTTACACCACTTTCTCATATTTTTCACTCTTTTCACCCCCATAAACCCCCTTACAACCCCCCGAAGGCCCGGTATCATATCCAACACCTGAAGAACATTCCGAGGCGCCAGAAGTCCGCAAGAAAAGAGTCTTTCGGTTTCTAAACCCGACCCTCGCAAAGCCCGGTTTTCAAAAATAAAGTCTTTTTCTAACAACGAAGTGCTACCCAATTCAATACCTATCAAGTGAGTTTATATCCCTATATTTTCACTATTTTTATAATGTTTTAAGGGGGAAAATACAAGTAAAATACAAAGAATTCTTGTATAAATAACAAAATTTATTCAACTAGTTTATAATTGTTATAAACAAACTATTTTACCGGTTCAGAATTTATTACAAAAATAAACATATAAATTATAATAAGTATAATTTATGAGTCATGCATATTTATCAATACATTTTATGGAACTACATATTGCTTCTATATTGAGAGTAAGTTATTAAATTAACCATATAAATTAGATTAAGTATAATTTATGACATATTTACAACATATCTATTACAAAGATCTTTTCCATTATTCTACACGTAACTATCAATATAGCATTTGCGAGACACGCTTCAAATACTTATTCAAGTATAAAAACAAAAATCCTGAAAGTTATAACCAGAGTCTCTCACTACTAGAATATATGCCTTTAATGACACGCAATTTATGATACGCACTGATTTATGTTACACAAAAGAGAGTGTCCTTAAAATAGTGTCATCTCTTCGAAAATTTTAAGGATTTACGTCACGCATTATTGCGTGCCCTTAAATTAGTGTCTCGAGAAAAAAAATTAAAAACACGAAGGGTGCTTTATCTTAAACATGCGTCGTCTGTTCCTGTCGCTTTATAATTTTAATGAAACGCGCTTTTTAATAGCTAAGGGGGGAAATGGAATCCATAAAAATAAAAACCCTCGCCTGTTCGATCCTTTCTCCACCATCAACACTAATCTTTGAATTAGCAAGAAAGAAGCCCTAGGGATCGACTTCATCTTCACCCACCTCCAGCGCCTCCAACCCTAGTCCTTCATCCAACACAACTCGGGTTGCTCTGCATGAAAACCTCCAACTACATCCTCCACATGAAAAAAATCCCTAATTGGCGGCCACGTTTTGACATCAGGTACCCTTGGGATGAAAGCCTTCTTTTGACATCAGGGTCCCCTTGGGATCTTCTGTTAGGGACGATTGCTCATATTTAGTTCATACATCCTCTCTAACCAAACCATTAGCAATGCAAAACAACCCTAATCTCCTGTTCGTTCGTCTTGGCGGATAGAGAGGGAATTGTTCAAGGTTTTTGTGTGGGGCTGTCGGATTTTTGAGTCACCGTCGAGGGAAGAGGGGGAAGAGGACTTTGAGACAAATTTTTCTCCAGCCTAAGGTATCGATTCCTATGATTTTCTTCTCCTTCTTTTCTGTTTTCCCCGCCAAGCACCACCTACCGCCATGGTCGGCAGCTAGGCGGTCGGCGTGTTTCTATGCCGCCACCCTCCACAATTAGTTGATTGTGTTTGTATATGTGGGTGCTCTAATGTGTATGGTATTCAGGTCCTTCACAACAAACAACAGTTGTCGGCGTGATTGCTCTCTCTCTCTCTCTCTCTCAAGAATCAAATTGCTAGAGAAAGGTTTGAGATGTTGGCTTGAGGGAAGGAAGAGGCAGAGGCGGTTGCTCCAATGAAGGAAGACGCCAGACGGTGTTTGTGGGGAATGAAGATGCAACGATGGTTGGGTTCAACCCCTTACATTCGCTTCTAATCCTTCTAAGGCTCTTTCATCATCAATTCTTTTCTCTCCCTTTTGTCTATCTGTTTCTGTGGCCTCGCGTTTCTCATATCCTTCCTCTTCGCCCCTATATAACTTTTCTACTACTTTTCAGTTTACATTCTAAGTTTCCCCCAAAAAAAAACTACAAGATCTTGATCACGATGACCTCTTTTTCTTTCCAGTGTAGGTTTTACCTAAATCAGATGCTTATATATATGAAAAATGTTTCTCTAGTTAGTTCTAGTGTGAGATTTGTATGATTCTTTCATGGCAGAAGCCCTTCGGTACGCACTTGCTGCTCAGATAGGTGAGTTCGAATTTGATTGTTCTTGATTTATGTCACTGGTTTGTTTATTTTTTTTTTCTTCAATTAGGTTTTACGTATGTGTATGTCTTTGAAAGTTCTTTTGGTATATATACAATAGTGAAAGGATTGAGAGGGATTGGTCATCTTCTGTGCACTGCTATTTGTACTAGGGCAAACTTTTTTTTCTTTGTTTCAATATTTGCAGTGAATGAATTATGGAACATTTGTATTGGTAATATTGTAACAATCACAAGAGCCACTTATTTTAGTATCTTTTTGCTTTAGTTCAAATTTGAATAATTGATGGTGACAATTAATTTTCTTCTTGAAATTTGTTTTTCTGGTCTTGGCTTCTCCTTTTTTACTTGTCTATCTTAATCAAGTTAACTGTTATAATGAAGATATCGATCAAATACTTTTAGAACTTTTGTAGCTAACATAAGATTCTTCTTTTCTTTGTTGATTATTGAATTATATTTTTAGTTTCTCATTAAATTATCTAAGCAGATTAATCTCTTTCGATTTAGGGTTAGTGCTAATTCTTAATATATTATATTGGAGCTATATGCACAAGGGAACATACTCCTCACTGGTTCTGAATCATGCTTATGACTCTTCTGCGTTTACACAGGTTTAAATCTTGATTCTTTTGTTGAATTTCAATAGGTTACATCATTACAAATACTTTTTGTGAATAAGTTACCAACTCACTTAATTTATAGATGATAATAAATGATGTGTAATCATGGCACACCGGCAATTGAAATCCGCAAAATCTTTGAGCAGACAGATGGTGTAAAATTATTTGGCAACTCTTACTTCTTTTAACAATCAAGAAAGTAAGGATAAGGCGAAAGGTAGTGCAAGTGAAACTGACGCACCTGCACCACAAAATAAGGGTAACCGCAAGGCTGGGAAGTCAAATGATTCTAGTAAAAAGAAGGATGGTGCCCAAGAAAAACAAGCTAAGTTAAAGGTTGTTCTTGGGGATGCTTTGGGTTATGGACGAGTACTATCAGAACATATTATATTAGATGATGGTTTAAGTCCAAACTTGAAAGTTCCAAATTTTTTCTTTCTATTCAATAGTTATTTATTATTTAATTTTAGCAGTTATTAAACTGCTCTGTTTGGTGTATCAAGTGCCATTGGAATCTGCTCTCAGGTTTGCATTGCCCCAATACCTATATGGAACCATGCTCATGATTTGTATAACAAGAAGGAACCTGTAAAAAGCTTCCAATATAGTACTCTTCAAGTGGAGATGAAAGTAACACAGGATGTGATGTTACTTCCAATCTAGTACTTTTCAAGTGGAGATGAAAAAAAAGTTTATGTTTTGAATTTTAACACCGATATAGTTTTATCAGTATTGATCTTTATAAAAGTTGAATGTGGTTGGGAATATTTATAAATTTGCATTGAGTTTGAGATTGAAATAAGTAATCTTTACTTCTTGGCTCTTGCAGATGGAAGGCTTTGTGTTACCATATTCTGAGTCAACTCGAATCTTGAAAGACAAGGAAGTTATTTGGTCGGCTTAATTATACAAACATGTAACTGGCTTTCTAACAAGTGGACATATGTTTGTTACTTCAGTGTGAAAAGAAAAGAAATGGCTTTGAATGAAGCAATAGAGAAAGCATATGTTGATAATTTGGTTGACTATGCAGAAGTCAACAGGAAGGAACCTGTAAATAATGACATGCTGCTTCTTCCAAAGGAAGAGTTGGAAGATGAAGCTTCACCTATAACAGCTTCCACAAAATGTAGGGGCTCAAGGTAAGTGATGCACCCTTTCTTAATACTTATGGTACACTAAGGGTCTATTTTGGTTGGATTAAATATGATGACAAAGGTATTGGAATTGTTGATTACATTGCATAATTCCATTATCTTGCTTATTCCACCACCGTGTCCCTGTTTATTGCATTTCTTCATCGTTTAATTCCATCCAACCAACACCCATTTCTTGTTATATGTCTGAATAATTCTCCATTCATCCAATTTATGTAGGAGTGAACATCTTCCAGCAAATGTGGAACGAGTTGAACAAGCATCTACTGCACCTGATGAGGCTAAAAAGGTCTTTCCATGCTTACCTTTCTATATTCAACTTATGAGATAAACAAATTATCTTTTACATTCTACATAGATACAAACACACCATTTTTATATGCTTGTTAATTATACAAAAAAACATAATGCGAATTAACTTTTGATATGAATCCTTAGGGCCCTAGTAGAACTGTTAGAAGGAAAAAAAGCTAAGAAACAAAGGAAGCAGGAACTTGCTAAAATTTCACAAAAGGTAATCTGTTTTTCAAAGACATCTTACAAAATTATATAAAAAGGCTTCACACTTTAGAAACATAATTAATGTAGGACATGAAAAAAGCTTCTGTGTTGAATTTTAAAATAATATAGTTCTATCAGTATTGCTCTTTATAAAGTTGATCTTGGTTATAAGTAATATTTTCCTCTTGCAGATGGAAGGTTTTGTGTTACCACCATATGATTCAACTCGAATCTTGAAAGACATGGAGGTTCTTGGGTTAGCTTAGTTTTTTACTTTATAGTTTATACTTTATACTGCTTTCTTTATATAAACATGCAACTGGCTTTTTAACAGGTGGACATATGTTTGTTACTTCAGTGTGAAAAGGCAAGAAGTGGCTTTGAATGAAGCAATAAAGGGAGCAGATGCCGGTGATTTGCATGACTATGTAGAAGTCAACAGGAATGAATCCGTAAAGTAAGTGAATATTTTTGAAAATTTAGAGTATATTTAGGGTCTGTTTGATTGGATGGAATGGAATGACAAAGGATTTGAATGGCAAAGGTAATGGAATGAGTCATTACAGTTGTCCTGTAGGAATGGGGTCAGTTTTCTTTCTGAATACAAATTTTAGTTTTACTTTTAACACTATTCTATATATTATTTAGTTAAAATTAGTAAACTACAGAAGTTGTTATTTACGAACTAAAAGTTAAGCTTGATAAAAGCTCTTTAAAGCCACATGAGATTATAATAATGAAACATTTTCTACTTATTTATGGAAAGTGAAATTAAAATCATGAAATTATAAGAAAGATTTGTGTCATTAAACATTTTATAAACAAAAATAGGCTATACTACAAATTTTCACCCCATTCCATGTTTCCATCTAGGAAGGAAAAAAAGAGCATGCGGAAGGAATAAAAAGATATAAACAAAATGGAAGGAATCAGATTTCTTTTAGAATGGTCTGTTCCGTTCCACCAGGCAAAATAAACAGATTTATTTATTCCAATGGAGTAATTCTCCATTCATCAATTAATGTAGGAGTGAACCTATTAATTTGTTTCCTGTTATTATGTTGGAGTAATTCTCCATTCATCAATTAATGTAGGAGTGAACCTCTTCAAGAAAATGTCCAAAGAGATGAACAAGCATCCACTACACATGATGGGGCTAAAAAGGTCTTTTCATGCTTCTCTTTCTGTATTCAGCTTATGAGATAAACAAATAATCTTTTATTTTGGTGGCCCGTTTTACCTACATTAATTAAATACACAACATTTTAATATGCTTGTTATAGAAACCATGAGCATGATGCAATTTGAGATTGAATGTCATTTGGTTTATTTATATGTTTGTTTTGTTTTAGATACTTGAAATTCGAGAAGGCGGGGGAAGAACTTAATCTCAAGGTTGGTAGTTGATTTTAGTACTTTCATAATTTCATCAACATTCTAGGAAAATAGGGAAAGTTGGGTTGTGAAATTTGGCTTTTCTACTAATATTAATAACAGTAACAGTGATAAGAAATACTCTTCATTTGGTAATACAAAACCTTTTCTACTAATATCAATTGATTTTTGATAACAGTTTTTTTTTTGTAATATCAAGATTTTAGATGTTCTTTATGAAAAATTATATCCATTTGTAACTATATATGTTTTTACAGGAGCAAAATAGGATTGTGGTAGTTCTCTTTGTGGTAGGAGTGAACCTCTTCAAGAAAATGCTATGTATATTGAATTTAACATCTCATGATTGTATTTTTTTTGTAGCATTTATTTCCCAAAAGGGTAGTGATGCATGGTGGTATATGAAAGTAGAAGAATTTCTTCCTGAGAAATATCGTGATAAAGCATCAAATTATGTGAAAGGAACTAATACAGGGGATGTTTTGTTTGATTCAGGTACATTACTAGTTTGTTAAAAGTTGAAGTTTTATTCAATTTTTTTTTTCTGATAGTTTCTAGAGTTTAGATCCAGACTGCAAATTATTAAGAGTAAACTGATTTTGGTCTGTGGATTTTATAGTGGCAGCCCATTGTTTTTAAGCTTATTGGATTGGCCCAATAATCCAATACTGATCATGTGCCTAGAGGGAGCCGGAAGCGAGATTACCGCATTCGTGAGATGTCAATTTCCTATTTTCAAGGCTCATTAATACTAAATGAATCAAGTTGTCAGAATGCTTGATGCATATTTCCCATATCGTGAGGTACTTATAATTATAATGATGTTGAAAAGACAAAACTACCCTCTATTAATATGTTATTTTGACCAATTTTCAACATGGTTGACTTTTGAAAACAGGAACGAAGGAATAGGAGGAGTTGGACTGCCAGCATGGACAGTGAAACCATGAGTGGTACTGTTGACATAGAACACCCAGCCCCAGTGGTGAAATCGGAAACCTAACAGAATCCTGTTAACAGAATTAACAGAAACCCGTTTAGTATTGTTGTAAAACATGAGGTATAATAAGTTTTTCCTTATTTAATTTTCCCTTTTAGTATTGTTGTAAAACACGAGATATAAGATTTTAAGGTTGCATGTGTAGGTTGAGTTTAATAAAGCTGCACAATCTTTAAATGATGCTTTGGTTGCTAGTGCTCAGAAGAAAACCGCATTAAATCGGTTGGTTAAAGTAAGATTGGATCATTTTCATTTTTTTGTTAATTTTTCATGTGTTGGTTTTGATGAAAACTGTTGTGATGATTGTAACAGGATAATGTTGCACTGAGTGTTGTTCTTGAAGCAAAGTTTAGTAATCATGGTGTTGATAATCCTGGAAAAAGACATCTTGTTTGTGTGGTAAGATATAGATATAGATACAGATACTTACATGTATTAAGATATATAGAATCTTGAAGAAAAAAATCTGTATTAATTTTTGGATTTTTCTTTTTAGGCAAATACCCATGTGAATGTTCAACAAGATTTGAAGGATGTGAAACTATGGCAGGTTAATAATATATTCTCTTAGCTAGAAAAAGACTCATTTTTTATTACTATTATCAATATTTATATAAATTTTGTGTAATAATTATAATATTTCAGGTTCATACATTGTTAAAAGGTTTGGAAAAGATAGATGCAAGTGCAGATATATCAATGTTAGTCTGTGGGGATATTTTTTGTGTAATAATTATAATATTTCTGGTTCAACTTTTAATGTAGACTAAAAGTTTTTTTTTCACATTAAGTTTTCTTGTTTTCTCAGTTCGATCAGAATCAAGACATACAAATCAGTTGTGCTCCATCAATCATTGTGATGTAAACTCCCTTTTGCATGAGGTATGAAAGTGTTAATTACTAGGGGAACTGTTTGGTTGGATGGAATGGAATTATGATGAAAGGGGTAATAGAATGAGTTGTTAGTTCTATTCTGAATTCACTGTTTCCCTTACATTCCTACTTTTTTTATTCCTTTAAATATAACATTGTTGTTATATCTAAATTCTCTCAGCCCCAATAAGAGCAAGTTTACTTGTCTTGGAAACAGGTATCATATGGAAACAGAAGCATAACAATAAGAAGTAGAAACAAGAAGGTGTTCCTTAATAGCAATGTAGTATTAGGTTATATAGTTAGGAAAAACCTCTTAATAACAATGTACAATTGGATCCCCTTAATACCAATGTATTAGATTTTTTTGACATGATGTTATGGATGAAATTGATTGTTTTGGTATATATTTGTTTCCATATTTTTGTATTATGTGTAAATGAGTATCGCAAAGACGTGTCGTAAATGTATATCGTAAATGGTTGTTGAAGTTTATGACACGCAAATGTGTGTCATCTTCATTTATGACAGGGGCTTTAATGATACGCAATGTGTGTCCCAAACGTGTGTCGTAAGGTTATGACACGCAAATGCTTGTCGTCTTCCTTTATGACAGGGCCTTCCTTGATACTCATTGCGCGTCGTAAATGTGCGTCGTCTGTAGACGACGCGCAAAAGCGTGTCGTCTCTCGTTATGACAGGGCCTTCCTTGACACGCATTTGCGCGTCGTCTGAGCGTTTTAGGACGTGCATTGCGTGTCGTAAAAGGCTGTTTTTCTAGTAGTGTCCTGGAGGGAGAGTGTGACACTTGTGTATAGATCTATATAGGACTGACAATCCCGCACCAGCTTGCAACAACTAGGCCGGCAGACTTGTGGTGACAATTTTCGTAACATATTTCGACGCCTGAAGAACGTCGTGTTTCAAGCGAGACTTAGGTCATCAAGCATGGTTATGATAACTCACAATTTGGTATTGAATAATACGTTTAGTGTAAGAATAAGTAAACAACTTTACATAGTTTTATATAAATAAAACTATAAATGGTGAATCTAGATATTTACAACTTTATGAATACAGAATACTATTCTAAATACAGAGAAAACTTCCTTTTCATAGTTTTATGGGAATTTAAAACTATATTATACTATTTCAGAAAGCAAATACATATACAACATAAAATATAGGATTTTCTGAAGAAAATACATTTACATTTTTCAAAGGAACAAATGACAAAATTCAATTAAAAACAGGCTTATGAACTCACCAACTTAATTGATGACACTCTTTTCAAAACTACTTGTATTTTCAGGAAATCGATAAATAGGTACCCACAGCTTTTGAGGAAGACAGAGTTTCATATAATTATGTCTTTTAATTATAATTTTTGGTGTCAAAAATATAATGATTTGAACACGAAGTTAAAGTTATATTTTATCAATGTAATGAATGTTGTACTTTAATTACTATTGTACATTGTTGTAATACTACATATGAAGTCATCCATCCCCGAATGTTTCCGCCATTCAAGTTTGGGGGTGTGACAGATTGGTATCAGAGCATTGTTTATATAGAACTCAGTATATCAATTTATATACAACTATAAATACAATGGGGCCGAAGTGCTCTGACTACAAGTATACTTTTAAAATATAAGTATTTTATAAAAAGTATACTAACACTCACACATATAGAAATAGTATCACAGTAATAACTACATAAAAGTATTTGGATGTTGGACACTACAGTTAAACCTGGACAGTTATGTAATCATATCTGGAATAAATATGGCCTGATCAACTATATTTATTTGAGATATGATCAACATGTGTTTGGGAATGATGGTAGTGTTGCGACAAGTCTAAAACTTACCAAACTCTACTCATACAGAAGAACTTTAGAACATAAAGCAAATTTAAAATACTATAGGACTATTTGTAAAACTACATTATTTTTATGCATCTTACCTTTAAATTCCTCGTATAGACTTTATGGCAGGATATCCTCCACCTGGAGATCCCTACTTCGCTAACCAACGGAATAATGGTTGGATAGAAGATGATCCTGAAGAGGATCCCGAGGAGGATAGTGAAGAAGAAAATTCAGATGGCACAGACTCGGAACAAGTGGTATACAATCCACCCAAGGAATACAACACCTGGTAGCCAGACAACATTTTCATTGTCCGACCCCAGCATGGGGCGAAGAACTACACAGGTGGAGCCACCAACAAGGACAACGTCCTCCATTTGGTATGAACAGAGACTTTTATGACATCAGTAATGGAGGATCGGCTGACATGGCCCTCCCTGTTATAGTGCGCCGTATTTCTCGTCAGGTTGATCAATCTCGTATATCGATCAACCGAATTCTAGATGTCACAACTGCCTCCCAACAAAACACCGCAAATATTCATCGTCTAGACGGAGATCACGATGAAACCAGACACCACACAGACATGCTCCATGTAGAAATGATTGCTGCTTAAATCTAAATGAGAGCACTCCAAGAGCATCAGACTACACTGGGAGAGGAGTTTAATGGAATCAGAACCGAATGTGGCAGAGCCCATTACTAGGAGCCGTACTCGTCGCAAGTAGTGTTTACACTACCTCTATTTTCTATTTTAATGTAAATTAATATATCGAACGTATATACTACTTTTTACTCCACGATTAAGTTAATACACTACTCGTAGGTAGTAATGCTGTCTAATTTCCTTTTTTGTTGATATAATATAGACCTATATCTAGGTCAAGTTCTCCCAACTTCATCTATAAAACAATATATCAATGAAAAGGATAAGCATTTTACTTCTTTAGGAGTTATTACAAATCTTCATAAACATCTTACTTCATAAATCTTGGTTATAAACTTAAAACAGACTCATTATGTTTAACTATACAAATTCATTACAAGTGTGGCTATAAATAAAATTAGTGATTGTTTACTTATATTAGTAAACTTTTATCACTTAATAGAACACTATAACAGTCAGAAATTAATGCAATTGAAATTAAGATATGTCTTATCAAATTTCACCTGATTCATGGTATTGTACTTATCATCATTTTTCTCTTAATTTATTCTAGAGAAAGATGCCTACCAGGAAATTTGACA